CTTTGTCAATAAAATTCAAAAAACTTTAAAAATAACGATTATGACAATTGTCACTTTTCATTGGTACATCTTCACTAAATTTATATTTACACATGTTATTAATACTTATTTAAACATATTTTCGTCAAAAAAATATAAAAAACTTTAAAAATAACGATTATGACAATTGTCACTTTTCATTGGTACATCTTCACTAAATTTATATTTACACATGTTATTAATACTTGTTTTAACATACTTTCTTCAAAAAAATTTAAAAAACTTATAAAAGAACGATTATGACAATTGTCACATTAAAATATTATCCTTAAAAAGATCATATAAAATAACATCAAAAAAGTTTCATAAAATCCACCTCATTTAATAATAATAGATAATTTAAAAAAAATGATAAAAGATTTCACCTAAAAGATTGTTTATTTATCTAATAAAATTTACAATATAATTCCTCAATAAAAGATGCATTTAGAAAGAAGATTGTGAAAATCACTAATAAATTATATTAAAAAGAATATTACATTTTTTCAATATAGCAGCATATTATTTTATTTATTAAAAAAATATTAAATCATATCATGTTTATTTGTTGATAATAATAAAATATTTACATTAAATATAAATAATAATAATTAATTCTAAGCATCGATGCAGAATTTTGACTAATTTATTTTAGCCAATTTTTAGGCTTAGCCCATTTTTAGGCTTAGCCAATTATTAGGCTTAGCCTTAAGCTTAGCCGATTTTTCCACCTAAAATCTCGGCTAAGCCGTTTTGTAGTCGGCTAAAATAAGCCGATTACGCAATACATACAAGTGCATACATTAATTTATTTTTGGCATATGAATTCTTTTTAACTTCGTCATTTATGCAAGTTAAATGCAAGAGAACATTTAGTAAATTAAAAATTATAAAAAATGTTGAGAGCTAATATAGGCCAAGAAAAATTAGAAGCGTTATTAACGATGCCAGTTGAACGAGAACTATTAGCGCAGATTGAACTAGAAGATATTCTTTTTTATTTAAGCAAAGGTTCAAAGTTATGAGAGATTTATTAACGTAAAAATTATATATTCTCTTAATTCTTTTATTTAAATCTTATTTATATCTATTTACAATATGATCGGTGCCTGTTTATAAGTGCAACAATTTTATTCTCTGTGCAATATTGTATAATTGCAGTAATTTTATATAGTGCAATATCTTTGTAAATCTAATATAAAATTTATATGTGCAATGAATATGATTTTAGATGTGCAATTTTTTAAAATAGAATAAATGATTATCGTTTCATAATATTATTTTTTTAATAAAAATGTAAATTGCTTGGACTTATTTTCTAAAATAAGAAGTAATAAAAATCATGTAATTCGAAGAAGCTATTTAAGGGAACCCAGCCGAAGGCCGGGCAAAAGCGGGCTGAAGGTCTCCAAAATGGGAGTATGGGACACGAAGTCCTCATAAGGAGGCCGCTATAAAAAAATTGCCCACGATGCTGGAGCTTCGCCAGTCCGCCCCTGGGCAATTGAAAATATGGAAGTCAATAAATTTTAAATAATCTACATCTTATTTTTGAATTGGTTAATTTAATTTAAATATTTTAAAAAATCGACCCGCATTATATATTTATTTAGATTCTCTTGACCACTTTAAATTATATCCATCGCCAGGTGTGTGGGTCTTTGATAATAATAAATCTGAAAGATAATAGGTAAAATAAAAAGAATTTTAAAACTCATTTATATCATTATCTGAATAAACATGGATTTTCCGTTATTAAATTGTTGAGCAATACTGACAATTCATAAGGCATCATTTGTTTATTATTTAATAATTTCATTTTTACACATGTGATATCATAATAATATTTCTGAATTCCAATTTACTTCATGTTATGTTTTTACGGCATGCTCTGAAGTGATTCATGGACGTTACAAATGCTGCAAAATTGCTTCATTTGAGTCAGTTTTAAAACGACTGACTCAGTATTTCATCTAGAAAAATATTACGCAAATCTAAAGATTTGCTCATAGATGACACTACGGTTTAATCATCTATTAACGAAATCTCGATACTTAGGCTTTTTCTAGCTAAAATATTGAGTTAGCCGTTTTTAAAAATCGGCTCAGTTGGAGCAATTTTGTATCAATAGATTAACATTCATTGATTTAGAATTTTTTACTGTTAATCAAGTATATTGACTCAACACTACATATATCTCTACGGATTATATCTTAATTTAATTCTTATGTTCTCATTTTAGTTTGACCTTCCTAATTTTTTATCTAGGATATTATCTTCCTTTTCCTTTGGGATTTGGAAAAACATAGAACCGTTGACAATAATCTCACCTGACCCCTTATACTTGCTTTTATTTTCATAAATCTTAAATATTTAAAACAATCTCCTTTTGAATTGGTTTTATGAGGATTTTACTAAAGTTTGTTTCCATATTTATTACAGTTACAGGATAATATATGATTTTTATAATAGACAATTTAAAATAAGACAATCTATGTTTATATTTTTGCATATTACAAAATAGATGATGATTCTTATATAATATATAACAAAAGAGATGAAAAACTACTTAATCTAAAAATATTTACTTTAATTATATAGATAAATTTAATATTTTTTTCAAATGTTTAATATACGACAGATTTTATCCAGTAACACCAATGAATAAAACAATAAATTCATTTTCATCAATTCTTGATTCATTTTTTAAAATCTAATTCAATACCTAATTTAGCATCTACAAATAATTTCCATATCATCAATCCCCCCCTCTTTAAAAGGTGATTGATTCTATTGTCGATTCAACAAATTTGATCTCGACATTATCAAGAAGAAAATATAAAACTGGAATGAGAAAAAAAATAGACATAGTGAAAAGGTTATTATCTGTATCTAAGAGAGAGCAAATGAAAATGAAAGATACCGCAAAGTATATCGACATGTCTTTATCATCTGCAAATAAATACGCGAAACCTTTCCCGAAATCATAGGAGGCCCTGAAAGATTATGTAAAATAGAGGTAAAAAAATATGCCTATTACAGGAAAAAAAATAATGGATCATTTAATGGCTAATAATACTTTTACAATTAAATTGAAAATTTACCTCCGGGATTTCCTAAAAATGAAAGAACTATACGAAAATATATTCTAAAAATGAGGTGGTCTAAAAAACTTGCAGAAAAACAACCTTATAGGAGCAACACCACGGTTGCTATCAACATACGCCAAATTTATTGTGAAAAATGTTGAATATAGCCAAAGAAAGAATATTTTTCTTAGGCGAGATGGTGTAAATTTACATGTTGTGTCTGTTTACGCCTGGGCACCATATAACGTTACGCCAACCGTGAAAGTCCCGAGATCGAAAGGTAAATTATTAGTCCTAATTTTAAGTCCCGAGATCGAAAGGTAAATTATTAGTCCTAATTTTTCAGGCCCGGCGCGAAATTTTTTTTAAAAAAGTTTGCCTGCCGACCCGAATTTATTTAAATATAGATTCATTTTTATAATAACTCAAAATTAAATATATATCTTATATAAGCGTCTAGATTCTAGAAATATAATCAAATTTTTTATTTTACATAAAAATTTCTCTACTATATTGGAATCGAAAATGTGATATTTTATCTCATTATTAAAGGGCATGATAGTTTTATTATTTCGATATTATATCAAAGAACTTATTAATATCTTACTAAGCGCTTATTGTTATGGACAATGTTTCGATTCATATTGTAAGTAATATGCAAAAATATAATGGACAATGTTTCGATTCATATTGTAAGTAATATGCAAAAATATACACACATTGTCTTATTTTTTATTACAAAAATCATATCTTTCCCTTAAAAATAAATTAATATATAAACCATATATTAAACTCTCCTAACAAAAAAAATTGCTTCGATTCTTTATGATTATCAAACAAGTTGCCTAGTGTACGGTAACGAAATTTCAAATCATTACAGTATTTCTCTTAGAAAGGCGCACCCTCTAATTCTTCGGCCATTTTATATGAAATAAACCATATCATAAATAATTATGTTCTCTATAATCTTATATATGCCAAATGAATGTATTCAAGCTACATAAATATATTAAATTCATCTTATCCTCCAACGAAGAAATATATTTCATAGCCATAAATAAAGTTATATAACTAAACCACTGGCGTATTCAGGATTGGGTGATTCTTCACATTAAATTTTATTGGTAGGTCCCCTCTTCTAAGACATTTGACCAAATCACATTTTTAAAAATATAAATTTGTTTTTCATTTTTTTTCTCTATCTAGTCATTACGTTTACTATTTTTAATATTATTTATGGCATATTATACTCATTTTGGAGGGGGGGGGGAATGCGAAGAAATTTTTTTTATTAGCTTAAAATAATATTTAGAAAACTGTTAATTTGCAAGGGAAATTTCTCACTCTCTGGTTACCTCTACTTACTAAACGACTATAAATTCAAGCAAAAATGATGATATTCATTAAACCTCGAATTACCGCTTCCTTACCACACATGCATATTTCTGCCTTCTGCAACCATTGCCACATATATTTTGCTTAGGTTACATTTAATATCGAGACTCCATAAAATTGGTTATCGAAAAACTTGATTGAAGGTATTTTGCAAAATTTCCCTCTAAATTTTCATACTGCATTCATAAAACTGTCGATTCTCCTTTTAATTGATTTAACCTTACGAAATTCTTTAAATCATCTTTGTGGTAGCCATATTATTCAATGTCCATGTGAAAACTTTGGAATGCTATTTGACCCCAGCCCATCACCTTTCCATTTCAAATCATATTTTGTTTTTTATGATCTATCTACTATATGCATTCATATTTTTTAAAGTTATATATATCCAATGCTAAATTTAGTTTACGTTTGAACGACGATTCAAATTTATAGATAGAATAAATATAAATATAATGAATGCCTCTTAATTTACTATATGCATATTTTATGAAATAGATAACAAATACCGAGGCTAAAAGATTTATTAAAGAAATTAAAGATGTTTTAGTAGAGTACGGTGAAAATAAAGAGCAATTGGAAAGTTTGTTTGTTGGAAGGCAAGTTACATTAGCAGAAGAACTTAAAAAAATTCGATCGATTCAAGAGAAAATGGATATTTTTATTCAAACTCTAAATAAAGAAAAAAATTAATTATATTGATCATAATTTATATAAAAATATAAAGTTGTCAACTTCATTTTATAATGCTTAAAATCGAAATCACAATTTTATAATCTGTATAAAAATTATGGATTTATTTATTGAAAATTTTTTAAAAATCATTTTTTGAGCATTATATATTTTGCTTGCATTTGACAAAAGTACAATATTCTCATTTAGCTCTCTATGATCTCACTTCTCAAGCATAGCAGATTAAATTTCTAATGCTAAATCATTTAATTTTGAAATATTTTTTACAAAAAAAAACTATTAATTCATTTAAAATTAAAAGAATTCACATTCAGACCTAATGATGTAAGCATAAGGTAAATTCCCGAGATTTTCCCTTGGAATATTCTCCATTTTAAATATATGGGATATTTTTTTATTGTCGTTTTTTATCTATTATAATTTTTAACTTCAGCCAAATTTTGAATAACTTTTTCCTAGGTTTATGACCAAAAATTATCACATTCTCATTTCATCAACTTACTGTTAGTATACGTTATTTTCTGTTATATAACGTAAGTTCGTTATATTGCAAAATATGATAATATTTTTTAGGGATGTACCGATATTTCACCCATTTTAAAATATCGGTTAATTATAAAATTTTCCGATCCGATATAAAATGGCGTCTTTAACAAAAATAAAATGTTATAATAAAAAAAATTATATCTAAAATCATTTATTTTTATAAATAAATCGAAATCCATTTTATGTATATTTTTTTAATAATAATTAATTAAACATTCTGCCATATTGTTATTTTTTTGCGCATTCTGTATAAAAGTGTGCAATAATCTCTTCAGAATGTTTTTAGTGAAGCTGGTGATATTGACAGTTACCATCCCCTCAGGCTGACCTCTGATAAATTGGTAATTTTGGTATTTCTAAATAAAAATCTTCGATATATTAATGTTAAATATTTATTTCAAATTTCATAATATATTTGTTTATTGCTTATTATGTATATAGATTAATGTTATTACTTATTATATAAAACTGATTTAACAATAAAAATATTTTATATACTTTTAGAATTGCAATTGAATATAAACTATAACTGATCATTATAATATACTTAAATGTAGTGTTGTGAACGAAGTTGGTTTTTTTTGAAAAAAATGATGAACGGCGTTCCTTTTATTTTTGACGAACTTTGAACGTGAATGCGTTCATTTTTTATGACGAACGCGTTCGAATTTAACGTTCGTTCAATTTTAAAATTACTTTTTATTTTTATTTATTTGAAAAATTTAATATTCATCCGAATTTTTTTAAAAAAATATTATTTATATTTTTTAATCGGCTGTATTTCCTTTTCACATTTTAATTTTTTTTAACACGCCATTATTATAGTTTATTAATTTGAATATTATTGTTTATATTTTAATTTAATAGATTAGCAAAAGCATGGATATTATTATTTAATCCTCATCATCTGATTCTGAAAATCCAAAATCAGATGAATTATCATTACCATGGCCAATTATGATAAATGTTTTACAGTAACATCCTATATTGAAGGAACTAATTCAATGCTTACCAAGTGTCAAATGTGGCCAAAAATATTGTCAAAATCTTCCGGTTCCAATTTAAAACGACATTTGATTGAATATTAATTATTTTATTTTATATAATATAACTAAGTAAAATCATTAAATTTGAAGAAAAAATGCATTTGGGATATTTGACCCCAATAATAACGATAGTTATTTTAAAATTAAAAAAAAATTAGTGGCCTCAAATTTGGCCAACCATTGATAGACGCCGTATTAAATGGGATTAATAAAAGTTATTAACCCAATCAATCTCAATTAATTACATATATTTTATTTTTTTTTAAGATTTGAACATATATATGAAGATCAATATGTTCTTTCTGCAATTATACATCCAGTATTCAAGCTTCAATGGCCATGGATACAACTTCCACAGAACGAACCTATTAAAAATAAACTTATAGCGTTATTGAAAAATTTGAAAATCCTAGAAATGATAATGCAAGAACTGTTAATTTCGAGATATCCTTTTTTTTTGTTGAGGAAGTAGAGAATGGATTGGAGGAGGATAACTTAACTCAATTTTTTAAGCAAATAACAAAACAATATGTGTTTTTAATAAATTCCCCACGTTAAAAGAGTTATTTATTAAGTAAAACCGCAATCCTTTCATCTACTCTTGAGCGCGTTTTTAGTATAGCTAGTAAGAAAATCACGCCGACATCCGGCGCAGAAATTTCTTTCTACCCTTTTGGTCAACATCACTCTTGTAATTTTTTAATGTCAACCAGGATTTTAATGAATTTTATTATTTTAAAATCTTAATTATATTGACGTCATTATAGAATTCAATCAATCAAAATCTAAAATTCCAAAAGTTACCATAATTTTACATATTTTTAAAATGGATGCATCTACTTTAATAATTTAAATAATTTTAGTATCCTAACTCTGGATAATGAAAAACCCAAAGTCTGGAAATTTTTTGCAAAAAAATTAAAGAAATTATTACTGCTCTAAGATATAAAACTGCAGAGGTTGAATTTGAATTCGAGGAATGAAAATGCCTAAGTACAATAGATTTAACATTAGATATGTTAGATCTTAACAGCATTGATCCATGCCCGGATACCCGGTTTCAAATTGGCAATTCCAATGATAATAATAATAATTCCACGCATATGAAAACCTTAAAATTAAATATCCCAACACGTTGGCATAGTATATTAATTATGCTAGAAAGCATATCTGGATTAAATAAGAATTTAATTAATAATGTTTTGAAAAGAATTGGGAAGCACTTTCTCAAATTATGAATCTGATCTGGTAGAAGAACTATTAGCATTTCTTTCAAAATTTATGAAATTGAAACACATTTAATAGTAAATGATAGTGATAGTTCTGAAATTATTTCACTTAAGGAAAATATGCTAAAAAAACTTGCGTTATGATTTCCGGTTTGTAATCTGCAAGTAATATTATATAATTATATTTTATTTTTTATTTAAAATTATCTAGGTATTGGCTTCTCTTTTAGATCCAAGATTAAAATTGACTGTCAAAGTATTTAGTAGAGCAAAATTGCTCAGCTTCAGAATTAATATTAAAACATCTTAAACTTATAGAGAATGATGATAATCAGGTAGTAAATAGAGCTAATGAGGATGAATTATTAAATTCAAGTTATTTGACAAAATTGGCAAATAAACATGCAACAAATATAAATTATTATTCCAAGTTAGGTGACTTAGAACAAGAATGCCACAGTTTTCTTGGAAAACGACATTCACAAGATATGGACGTTCTAAATTTTTGGAGAGAAAAAAAGAGTGAACTTCCTAATCTTTCCAGGCTCGCCAAAAATATTCTTTGCATTCCGGCGACTAGCACACCTAGTGAAAAAGTTTTCTCTACCGCTGGATTGACGTTAAATTCAAGGAGATCATCAATAAAGTAATTTTTATACATGATAATTAAATTACGAAATCGATTTTGGATATAATAAGTTTCCTATTAAATGAATATTAAAAAATATGCCGAGATATCTGTAGAATAGTGTATATTTATTTGTTTTTTTTTTAAATTAATAAGCAATTAAAAAAATTTAGCCGGCCGTCGATTAGATTTTTAAAAAATTGCGCCGGCCGCCGATATTTCGTCGGCGCACAGAAGTATAGCTAATGCCGTATTAACTGCCAAGCGTTCCTGTCTATCAGATGAAAATTTTGAAAAATATTGTTAAAAATTAATAAGAAAATATTTTTATAAATAAAAATATCTTTTTATTTGATATATTATATCGAATTTATAATTATATTATCAAAATAAAACTATATTATTTTTAACATCGCTAATATTATGTATATAAATATAAGACATTTATTTATATTAGATTAAATTTTAAAAAATATTTATCGTAAAATTTTGAACGGTTTATGAACGTTAACGTGTTCCATTTTTTTTAACTTGAACGTAAACGCGTTCGATTTTTAAGTTATGGTATAGTTAAATTACAGATGTTATACTAATAAAAAGTATATTAAAAATTAAACCCATTGGTATCTTTACAGATTACAAAATTAGATATGATATCAGATCGGTAATAGGCCGATATCAATTTAATATCGGATCGGCCTCCAAAAAGTGGTATCGGTGCACCCCTAATATTTTTTATCAGTTTTACCATTTTCCGATCGTTATATTATAAATATATATTTTAGAGATAAATATAAGGAATAGGCAAAAAGTGAATTTCATATTTTTCAACCATTTTTTTTATTTATTATGGTTTAAATATGCTAGTTTGTTATTTCTTATATTTGTTGATATGATTCCCTATAAGTTGACTATAATAAAAAATATGAGATATTTATTTAGCCTAAAAATTTGGAATGAGTGAAGAAGTTTTTATCAATGATTCTGAGATATGTTTTTATATCCATTATAATCAACATCTACATGATGAAATTTTCCCAGAATCAATAAAATAGGAGCAACCAATGAAAAGAAACATATTTTCTAGTGAATGTATTTCTGATTCTGGGGATGATTTTTAAACCATTTTATCTTATATTACTATTTTAAAATATTCATTTCTATTTGGACTTATATTGTTTATACAATATATATATATATATATATCAGAGACCTGCAGAGGTATCATATGCACAGCCCAACTACGATTTTTTTTAAAAAATTGTCCGCCCGGGTTTTATATTTTTCGGCTCGGATTTTTTAAATATATTATATTTAGTTAATGACTTAAAATACGTGTACCGGGTTTAGGACTGGACCTGCAGATCTATGATATACACTACTGGCCATAAATGATTGCCAACCCTGCATTTTCTTAAAATAAGAAAAATAAAACACAATATGAGGTTTATCAAATTTATTTATAAGTTTACATATTGCATAAAATTACAGAAAATAAAAGACATAGCAATTAATTAAGATCAAATTTTGGTCTCATCAATATGACCACCTTTATTCTTAATAATTGCTACACAAATTTTTGGTAATCTTTCAATGAGATTTTTTAAATATTCGGAAGTGATATTGTTCCATTCTCTCTGTAATACTTCCCAAAGGTGCGAATGAGAGGTTAGAAGGCTTTTTCGCGCTTGTCGATCAAGGTGATC